ATCAAACTTGTTTGAAAAATTAATTAATTTCTAACTTACTAAATTTAAATACTGAAGGCAGTAGAGTAAAATGAGGTAATTTCGCCACTAATTCTTTCAATTAAAATAACTTGAAAACTAAAAAAAAAAATGGAATTTTTTTTTATTGTTAATAATATTTTTCTAAACTTTACATACTTATTATTTTTTTTTTTTTTTTAATAGTTAAAACAGAAAAATTGGGTGGCAAATTTACCCCAATAAAATCTAATATAGGGTATTTTCGCCACCTATGTTATTTACAACATAAATTTTTTATTTTAAAATATAAATTTTAAAAAACATTTACAATCAGTTAAATAAAAGAAATCTAACAGTATTCAATAAGAGGAGGCATGGCCATCGATACCGAAAGGTATTGGGGCATGTCCCTCCTCCACCTTTATTACTAATTTTTTTTTCTTTCTTTTTTTTAAAAAATCTAGGATATTTTAGGAGATTTGTTAAAGTACCAGCCTCAGCCATCCTTTCTGGATATTGAATTCTTCTTTCTAGTGTCCTTCCAGGTATACAGTATAAATCTGTAGCTCACTTGCAACTCAGTTCGCCAGTTTTAACTTTTGCAATGGCTTTTTCCATTAGCTCTTTGCTATAATTGGTGACAGATTTTCTCTTGTAGTTTTGCAGCATTGTTGCTGATATTTGATCGATTTAATTTGAATTGATTATAAGAAGAACATGACCTGAGAAATTAATTACCAAAACAAGAGGAAGGGAAATAATATTAATTATTCAATCAAAGTGCATTTCTATTTAATATAAATAGGTGATGAAATTCCCCCATTTAGTATTTTTATAATAACTTTGGAACCGATTTCTGTTTTTTTATAGATTATTTTTGTCAATTAAGTTTTCACAAAAAGAAGATTTTTTTTTTTTACATAATTTGATAAGAAATTTGTTTTTCTTCTAACAAATATTTAAATTATAAAAAAATTTTATTCCTGAATTAAGTTTTTTTATTATTATTATAGTTGTAGCCGTAAATTTACATAGAATGTACACATACAGCGAGCAGGGAAAACACCCCACTATAAACAACCAGTTTTATAAATATTTGTTCCAAACATATTCAACAACCAGGAGTCTAGTCTATTTTTGAAGGAAAGTACAGTGCAGTACAAAGTTATTTGCTCTGGTAGTTCGTTCCAGTATTTTGCTGATCTATTATACAAATGATTATATCTTGGAAGACAATTTGGAACATACTCACGCCTTATTTTAGAATGGTGACCACGAGACATGGAGTTAATATATTTTGGTAGATATTTATCATTAACTATATCAAAAACATGTATTAATTTAAAAATTTGGATTAAATCGCATCGAAGGCGTCGAAACTCAAGTGATGGTAGATTTAATCTTTTTAGCCTTTTGCAGTATTGAAGATGCCTCAAGCTGTAAGCCCATTTTGTTGCTTTGCGTTGAACAGATTCAACCAAAGCCATATCAGCTTTTAAATAAGGAGCCCAAATGGACACTCCATATTCAAGATGTGGTCTTATAAATACTTTATACAATTTGAGAGCCATTTTTTCATCAATGAAAGTGAATGTCTTTTTCAGCATACCAAGAATTTGTAAGGACTTAGAGATAACTGTTTGAATATGAGCGATCCACTTGAGGTTAGATGTAAAAATGACTCCTAAATCACGTTCTTTAGTAGAGCTTCTTAGACATTGGTTGATTCCTTGGTTATTTTGCAGAAAGTAATTGTAATGGGTGTTGTTTCGACCGTAATGAATGACATAGCATTTTGAGGTGTTTAACTTAAGTAACCAAGTGTTTGACCACTCATATACCAAGCGTAGATGATCCTGCAGATCAACAAAATTAGATTGCGATAAGGTTTTAGAAAAAAGTTTAGTATTATCAGGAAATATCTCAGAAGTTTCAGTGAGTTTTGCAAGATCATTTGTGTAGAGAATGAAGAGGAGCGGGCCGAGAACAGAACCTTGAGGAACACCACTAAGAACATCAACCCATGCAGAGTTGGTATTGTTAATTGTAATGCGTTGCTTTCTGCCCACTAAAAAGGATTTAATCCATTGTAGGAGTTTGCCATTTATTCCGAAAGATCTTAATTTTAACAAAAGTCTGTTGTGCGGTACAGAATCAAACGCTTTGGCAAAGTCAAGATAGATTACATCAATAAATTGGTGGGATGCTATGGAGGACAAAATGATATCAAAAGTTTCTATTAGGTTAGTTACGCATGATTTATGATAAAGGAAGCCATGTTGATTTGCAGAGAGCATTTTATTACCGTTAATGTGCTTTAAAATTTTGTTCTTTACAAGTTTTTCGAAGACTTTACAGGCAACAGATGTTAGTGAAATAGGTCTATAGTTTTCAGCAAGTAATTTATCTCCCTTTTTTTTATAGATCGGACTAATATTTGCTAATTTCCATTGACTGGGTACTACTCCAGAATTAAAGGATTCATGAAAGATTTTTGTTAATGGAATCGCAAAGCTTTTGGCACATATCTTGAGTATTAAGGGATGCAGGCCGTCAAATCCGAAAGATTTATAAGGGTTTAGATCGGCAAGTTTCTGAATAATATCTGGGATAGAGAAATCCAAGTTTTCATTATAAATGCATTCAGAATGAATACCACTTTTATTTAGCAAAGGAAAATTTCAGAGCTTTCAAGTGTAAACATAGATTCAAATTGAGAGTTCAGAAAATCAACTATATCAGGAAGAGCTTCAATAATTCTGCCAGAAGTATCTTTGAGAGAGTGAAGTCGATCTTTAATTTTTAGTTGTTTGTTGATATATTTGTAAATGAGTTTTGGGTTGTTTTGGGATTTCGATATTATTTCTTTTTCATGTGCTTTTTTTGCTTTAAATATTTCAGCTTTGACTGAACGATTAAGTCGATTGTATTTTATTTTAAGCTCACTATTCTCCCATTTGCCAAGCAGATGCCAAGCGGATTTTTTTGCTCGGATCAGGTTTTTAACCCAAGGACTTTTTTTTTGTTTTATTAATCTTGAGAATAAAGTAAGTTATAGTTATAAAAGTAGATATACACCAATTGGTGGCAAAATTACCCCATTTTACTGGTAATCATTTTTGATTTGTTTATAAAGTGCTCTTGAAACAGCAAAATATTTGAAAACATGAAAAATAGTTTCTGTAGAATACAATACTCAGGATTTTCATGCAAGATATACTTTCTTGTTTTTTTTTCTCAATAGTTTTACATTAGTCAAATATCTTAAAGCTTCAACCAAATTCAATTTCATTCGACCATTTATTTCAAATAGTTACATAGTTTTTTGACCAACTAGTTACATAACATGAGCATTCACAATGATACGCCTCATATTTTAAGTTAAAAGAAAGTATAAACTTAATAAATAATGCAGATTAAAAAATCAATACAATTATTTTTTTAACAATTTTATAAAATAATAATTAAAAAAAAATTAACATTACCTAGGTAGACCACAGTATAATTCAGTTGATTCAAAACTAGTTTTTCATCGCATTTCAATGTTTCAAGTTGATCAGCTTGTACATTTCTTGCACTGAAAGTTGCCGAAGCTGTAGTCCATGATTTTGTGCAGTTGGTACAAGGCTGGATCTAACAAAATCAAGTATAGATGGAGGATTAGAGGGTTGTTTCTTACCAAAAAAAATTTGTTATTTGAAATTTAAAGGCCAAATGTTTAAAACAAACAACAGTATATTTGCTATCAGGAATGTTACGTTCTTGGAATAGCATGTAGCCATTTTTTGTGTTCTTTTGGATCTTTTGGCAATCTGTCGGTTAAATAATTAGTGGAAAAATTAGTAACAAAACACTTTAAAGACATAATAAGTTTTGTCTTACATAGACTCCACAAACAAACTTTCCCAAAATCTTCTGAACTAATTGTCCTATAGTTTTTCTTACAGATTATACGGTTAATAGGCCTGGTGGTGTAGATAGACATGATGTTAGTACACATGTATGTGAGTGCAATTGTATGGGCAAATTATTTACATATTCTTGTTTTTTTTTTCTATGAATAATCTTGTATTACCTGTTACATACTCTTATCAAGTTTTAATACACCTCAACATTTTTATCATGAAAATTTGATAATGATTTATACCTTTGCACTCTGCATGTATGAACCTCATTGACTTTTCCTGAATTGAACTACAATGACTTGATATTCCTGAATTGAACCACATTGACTCGATATTCCTGGATTGAACCATATTGACTCGATATTCCTGGATTGAACCACATTGACTCGATATTCCTGGATTGAACCACATTGACTCGATATTCCTGGATTGAACCACATTGACTCGATATTCCTGGATTGAACCACATTGACTCGATATTCCTGAATTGAACCACATTGACTCGATATTCCTGGATTGAACCACATTGACTCGATATTCCTGGATTGAACCACATTGACTCGATATTCCTGAATTGAACATTGATCTAAAATATTGCATTCTCTTGATCCAATCATATTTCCTAAATGATAAAAACCAACAAAATCTCATTACCATAATAAAATAATTATATATTAATCATCTTTTTTCTTTATTTCCCTTTTCATTATTTTTCACCACAAAATTCTGCATTTCAACAAAAAATTAAATGACTTGACTCTAGTTATTTAGTAGTATTCCTAATGATTGCAATCTCACATTATTAATTTTAACCTATTAATATATTATTAATTTTAACCTATTAATATATATCTATTAACCTATATATATATATATATATATATATATATATATAATATAAAAGATTAATTTTAACCTTATAAAAGTTTTTTTTAATTTTTTTATTTTTAAGTTTCTATTTTTACTTTTTTATTTTAAGATTTTACTAAAGAGTAAAAGTTTGAGTCCTAAAGCTTGCACTCATTTAGTATTTGTCTGATTTGTAAAAATTAAAAATTATTATTGGTGTGTTTATGTTGAAACTTTTTTTTACAGGTGTGGCTATGTTTTAAAACCTGATTACTTCAGAGATCCAAATTTCAATCCGCATGATAATAATACATTTAAAAATGTTGAACCTTGGAATATACGTTTAACGGTATATTGAATTATTACTAAATTAAAATTATTCATTAAACAGAATATTGTCTTCTATATATTGATTGCTTGCTAATGTCTTATAGAAGATACTTTTGTATAAACCTTATGCTACCAGTAGATTGGTAGTTATTAAAATGATATTGTTTTTGTATAAAATGTAAACTGCGATAAGATTGACTGATATTCATATATAAATATAATGTATTTTTACTTTTGCTTCATTAAAAACATCTTAAACAATAAATTAATTAAAATAACTCTTTAAAAAAACTTTTTCTTTCTTACTTAAAAGTTGTATTTTTTAAGTATTTAAGTTTTTTTTTTTATTAAAAAATTGTTTTTTTTTTAATTTTTTTAATTTCATGGTTGACTTAAAGAATTTATTTAAACATTTAAAAAACAAATGTTCAAAAGCTAGTTGACATTTTTAAAAAAATGTTGTTTTAATTAGCACTCTAAGATACATACATATATATATATATATATATATATATATATATATATATATATATATATATATATATATATATATATATATATATATATATATATATATATATATATATATATATATATATATATATATATATATATATATATATGTTTTTATTTCAATTAACCTCATCTCAAGGCCATGAAGGCCACTATAGTCAAGGAGGCTACTTTTAGTTGTGGTTACAATCTTCTTTCAACTCTATAACTTCAAAACATGAATATATATATATATATATATATATATATATATATATATATATATATATATATATACACATATACATATATATGTACATGAAGAAACAAGTTGAGTATGGTACTACCAGGGACCACACACACACACACACATATATATATATATATATATATATATATATATATATATATATATATATATATATATATATATATATATATATATATATATATATATATACTCTTGCATGTCTCTTGCGTGGCATCAAAAAAAATTTCCCATAAACTGTAGTTTTAAAGAGCGCGTTAATAAACCAGACCAGAAAAAGTTTTAACAAATAAATTTTTTTTTTAATTGATAGACTGCCTGGCCAAACCAAACCCTCAGTCGATGTAGCAGCACTCTCTTGCGAGTCAGGCTATTTGTCAGTCGTTGTAGCAGCACTCTCTTGCGAGTCAGGCTATTTGTCAGTCGATGTAGCAGCATTCCCTTGCGAGTCAGGCTATTTGTCAGTCGATGTAGCAGCACTCTGTTGCGAGTCAGGCTATTTGTCAGTCGATGTAGCAGCACTCCGTTGCGAGTCAGGCTATAAGATAGTCGATGTAGCAACATTTACGCATGTTTTAAAAATGTTTTTTATTAAATCAATAACAAAAACACCACTAATTAAAAAAAACTTTCTAGTCGTTATAATTGCGGTTTTTTAAAAATTTTTTAAAAAACAATTAAATTTAATGTACTTCCGCATAAATTAATTGCTTTGACATTTTGATGACAATCAAAAACAGCTTAAGAGACGAGGTAATTAAAATTGTAGTCGTAAGAGACTTTTTTTACATTAAAACGCTCTTTCGACTACACTATAAGGGTATATATATATATATATATATATATATATATATATATATATATATATATATATATATATACATATAAAATATCCAAAAGTATTGGAATACTATATAAAACAAGAAATATCCTAAATAAGCACATCTTAACTCAACTACATCATTCATTTATCCATTGCCACCTAAACTATGCAAATATTGTGTGGGGTAGTACAAACAAAAGTAAACTTAAACCACTATATTGTCAACAAAAACATGTTGCTATATCGTTTTACTCATGCCAAGCCTCTCTTAATTGTCATGAATGTTTTTAGTATATACACGCTGAATATTTTCAATGTTCTTTGTTTTATGTATGAATGTAAAAATAGTTTATCTCATAAACCCTTTCAAAATTTATCTACTTTAAAAGAAAAGAACAAATACATCTTAAGAAATGATAAAGCAATTCGACAACCTCCTTACCATACAAATTTTGGAAAGTTTTGCATCTCTTTTTGTGGAGCTTTTCTGTGGAATAAAATAATTTCAAAACATTTTGATATTTTTAAGAAATGTAGTTATCCCTTCTTTAAACAAAAACTAAAAAGTATTATATTTTCAATTGATGAAGTGTCTAAGTTTTTTTAAAATTCTGATTTTAAGTTTTCTTATTTTGTGTTTTCCAGAAAAATACTTTATTGTTAAAGTTATAGTATATTGTAAACATATACTGTGTTCTTATGTTCTGTGTTCTTATGTATTAATTCTGTAATTTTTTTCTGGAATAATGTTATATATAGTTTAGTGAAATATACTTTGTAAAATATATTGTGTATGAATGTGTATATTAATGTGTATATATGTACATGTGTATGCACCTGTGTGTGTGTATACATGTATATGTATATATGTATGTATGTATGTATGTATGTGCGTGTATGTAATTATGTATGTATGTATTTATGTATACATGTGTGTATGTATGTAATATGTATGTGTGTGTTTTATTTGTATATGTCTATGTGTTTACTTGTGTTCAAACAATTGTTCTGTATGCACATATGATGTTATGTATGTTCATACACGTAAGTTACTAGTATGACCTTCAAAGCTAACCTACTTGTCTAAAATGGCTGAAATTGTTTAAAGTTGCTGCACGTGGGTCAAAGAAGAACACCAAGCAGAAAATATTCATCATATGACAATAAAAATCTTTCAATTAAAAATTCCACAAGACAATCGTGATATAGTAATCAATACTCAACAAAAACAATCATGATACTTAAAAAAAAATAAAGAAAGAAAGAAAAAAAATAGATAGACTTATATATGTAAATACATTATTGAATAGATAGAACTTATTCAATAATGTATTTACAAAGGTGTTGGAGAAAATTTTAATTTTGAAGAAAAATGAAAAATTCGTCACAAAAGTTAAGACATACTAAAAGTCGCATTATATGAGTATACATCAACTTTTATTGAACTTTAGCAGTTCTAATGACAAGACCTTTAAAGTCTTTTTTGAGTTTCCACGTTCTTTATTTTTATTTAATTTCTATCATTATTTGAAAATAATCTTTAATTGTAAACATTTTAACTTTATGTATTTGTATAAAAATTTTCATGTAATAAAAAACAAAACAAAAAAAAAAAAAAATATATATATATATATATATATATATATATATATATATATATATATATATATATATATATGCATACATAGATACAAACAAATGTATGTATATATATTTGTGTGTATGTTTTTTAATATATTCTGTTTCTTATCTTCTGAATTTTTTGTAGGTATTTATGATTGGTTAATTGTTGTTTAAAAAATGATTAGAACAAGGCTGTATTTTATTTTTTATGTCCACTATTTATTTTCTCTGCTTTATTGTGTGTCTCATGAATTCTATGTCTCGTAGGTGTAAAATAAAAGAATTAAAATTCGAGTTAAATATATATTAGTAAGTAAAAATATATTTTACAAAATTGTAAATTTGACAAACTTTAAACAATAATTTACACAAAAATATAATAATAATAATTTCAAAAATTATTACTAATATATAATTTCAACATTTACTGTTTATTATAGAAAAGTTAAATTTAGTTTTAATCAAATTTTAACGTTGCATTTTCTACACAAACAAATAACTGTTCAATATTTTTTTTGTTTTTCAACTTTTATATAAATATGAATATAAAATATATGTATATTTGTTTAAATATACAATAGAAATTTATTTTAAATAAAAATTAATTCGGGTTGAGCCTTAAATTTAACCTTTTTTTTTTCTTTTAAATATTATATTAAACTTGTAAATAAATATATTTCATTAAACTTGTAAATAAATATATTAAATAGAAGGGTTATAAATATATTTGAATCATCATAAATTCATTCACCTGATTTTGTTTGAAAATTGCAAACAAAGGATTAATTCCACTTTGACGGCATGCAGAATATATTCTTAAGTTAGATAAACCATTTCTTACTGGTACTAGAAATTTTTATGGTTAAAGTTTTTTTTTTAGTAGTTAACATATGTTAATCTCTATACAACGTCTAATTTTACTCTATACACCATCAAATTTTAAGCTTGCTCCAACAAGAAAAAGAAGTCTTTAGAACTCTTGATCTAACTCTAGCTCTTAAAAGCTGATAGCTTAAAAAAATTTAAAAATTTCTCTAACATTACATCTCTTGAGGATGAGGGGGTTACTACAATTTAGGAGGCTACAACCCACTCTCAATTCTTTAACTCTGAAACACAAATTTTGGTGAACAAGGCCACTGTGCGGAGAAACAAGTTGAGTATATTATTACCAGAGATGTAGTGGTGGTCAAACTTCTTTCATACAAAGCGAGTGCTCTACTGCTACAGTACTACTGCATTTTGTACAAATTTATTTTAAAGCAAGCAAGGTTATCATTATAAGTTTATCATTTGACAAGCAACTTTTTATTTAAAATGTTGCAACTGATAGTAGTGTCAATTATTGCATGTTTGATAACAATTTTAAAGAGGGGTTCTTAAAATTTTTGAAATTTGCAGCACTTCTTGTATCTAATTAATGGTAAATCAGTCAATTTTCTTGTTTCACATAAAGCTTACATTATTTAAGAACTTTAGATCTATGCAAGTGCCTACACTGTAGAGTTTTTTAATGTCTGGTTGAAACAAAATAAGGTTGTTAGTCAGTCTTAATTTAGAACTTTAATTTTGAAACATCAGATGAGCTTTAAATTGGTATGGCAAGTTTTATTTACATTTAATTGATTTTAGTTTAATTTGAATGAAAGAATCAAATTGGCTGCAGCTCTTTACATTCAGCCAGAATCATATCATGGAGGGCAATTAGTAGGGTATGCTTATCAAAACTACTGAGGAGTTTTTACATTTTCAATGCACTGCAATGCATTGAAAAATAGGATTTGAAAATTTTGATTTAAAAATTTGATTGAAAATTTTAATTGAAAAATTATGATTTGAAAAATAGGATGAAAAATAGATTATTCCTGCTACTACAGCAAGCAATAAAAAGTTTTGGCTCTTTTACAGCTAATAATAAAAAGTTTCATCATAATTTTGACTCTCACTGAAAACTATGTTAGAGTGATGGCAATTATCTTTTTAATCAAAAGTTATTTCCCTAAAATTGTTTTAATTTTTACATTTTTGTAGTCTGGAAAACATTGATCTTTCACCCTATCAGTAGTTTTCCTAGGTCAGCTCAAAGTAATTTTTTGTCATTTTTTACAACTGTAACCCATTAATTGCATAGCTACATATTTATAACCTAACCGCCTATTTTATTAAACAGAACTAAATGTTCTCATTCACTAATTGTTTTGTAACCAATTTCTCTCAGTCATGTGTTTCACACAGTGTTTCCTCTCAGTCTTGTGTTTCACACAGTGTTCCCTCTCAGTCGTGTTTTACACATAAAATAATATTGTTGTAGTTGTTCCCTCTCAGTCTTGTGTTTCACACAGTGTTCCCTCTCAATCATGTGTTTCACACATAAAATAGTATTGTTGTTAACAGTTGCTATAGTTAAATTAAATGAAAAATATTTTTAAATGATAATAAAATCATCTAAAAAAACATAAAAAGCAAGATTGCAAGTATTAGTTTTCAGACTTTTTTGAATTCTTCATGTTTGTTTTTTTAGATTTTAGGTGCACGTCATTTACCGAAATTAGGTCGTGGTATTTCATCACCATTTGTTGAAGTTGAGGTGATTGACTTAAGAAGTGAAAAAGATACTTTTCGAACTAAAACCAAATGTAAGTAATTTTGTATTTTTTTTTAAGAAAATAAGTTTTTTTGAATCATTTTTCTGTCTATGCATTTGGATTAATAACTTGCCCAATTTTGCCTCTGTATGTCAAAAAGTATGTAAAGTCAAATGCGAATTTCGTTTTTTATCAAAAGATATTTACAAATTGATTGATCTTCTTAACAATCCCATGAAGATAATGTGTTACAATGGCATTACCGTTCCAGCTAACGAAGCCTTTTGTATTTTTGTAAAACCTTTTGCTTACCCCTGCAGGTATCAAGATATGATATCATGATTTTCAGGATCAGTACCGCAATTGTTTATGATTTCAAACCATATTATAAATTTATTGTTTGCAGAATGAGGCCATTTACTTACCAACTTAAATCAGGGATGGTTAGACATTTAGCATCTAGAAATGTATGCCGCTGCTATTCTTGCTAAAGGAGCTCCTCCTACAAACTGCTGGAGTTTATTGATGGAACATTAGGACCAATAAGTTGTCCTAGAGAGCACCAAAGAATACTTTATAATAGGCATAAAAGGTGTTGTGGAATAAAGTTTCTATCACTAGTTGCACCCAATGGCCTAATTACCAATCTAAATGGTCCTGTGGAAGGGAAAAGACATGATAGCAATATGCTTGCTGATTCAAATTTACTAAATAATTTAGCAGTTTATTTTTTCAATAGCGATAGAGAATGTTTGTGTGTTTATGGAGACCCTGCTGAATGTTTGTGTGTTTATGGAGACCCTATCTCTATAGAGTTCATTTACAATGTGGATTTAAAGGAACTAACATTTCCCCTGAGCAGTTTATTTAGAAAAAAAATATGAGTAAAGTTCGTGTTGCTGTTGAGTGGGTATTTGGAAATAATATAATAATTATTTAAAATTTTTAGAATAAAAAGAATCTTAAAGTGGGACTTCTTTTAAAAATCAGTTTCTAAAATGCATTAGTTTGCGCTTTAATGCACAACGCATGTGTTTGCCTATATGGTTCAACAACAACAACATATTTTGATTGCCAACCACCATCGCTTTCAGACTATTTTAAATATTTTTTTTATGAAATATAAAAAAGATACACAAATTGCTTTATTTTTTTTCAGGAAAAAAGTTTGCTTAAAATTTCTAAAGATACATCATAGTCTGCATCATATTATTTTGTTGCTGCTTCAAGGTATTTTGTTGCTGCAGAATATGTTGCATTGTATTTGTTTGTGCTTCAATTTCTCTTTTTTTAATAAACAGTTCTTCTTTTCTAATATTTTCTTCTATTTCATTCTTCTCTTTTAAATAAGCAATTGCATTGCCATTAGTTCTTGACTTTTTTGAAACTTCTTGTCCTTTGTTTCGCTGTTCAGTTTCATTATGTGTCTCTAATGACCTTTTACTTATTTCTTTTGCTTGAACATTGTCCGCATCAATCATTGCATTATTTTGCTCTTTAAAAATACTTTCAGAATGCTGAAATCTCTCTTAGACATCAGCAATAGCCACATAATAATCTGTCAAGTCACATGTAATTCCATTTGCATTTTTTTCTATTGTATCTTTTTTTATATTTTAATTAAAAGGGTAATGTGATCACGAGTTGATCTACCGGTAACTTTCAAATAAGGTTCTGGTAATCTATTAAGAGAGTTTTAAGGTTCTGGTAATCCATAAAGATATTCTTTTCCGTTTTAATAAATATATCAATCAATTTATTAAAAATCATTACTTACACAATATAAATCACAGGTTTGTATATCAGTCAGATTTTACATATAGTTATATTAAAAAAAAATAACTTGCTGAAGATGATGTAATTGTTCCACATGAAGATTCTATAACAAAGATAAATTGCGCTATATTAGAGCATACGCACATATATATATATATATATATATATATATATATATATATATATATATATATATATATATATATATATATATATATATATATATATATATATATATATATATATATATATATATATTCATGGACATATATTATTTATAATATATGTCCATGAATATATATATATATATATATATTCATTTTTGTAATTTATTATGTATAAATATAATATAAAGTTAGTAATTCAGATTTAAAATGAAAACAATTAACCAAAACTTTATGACGTTTTCATAACTATTTCACATTTTCAACACAACGCTAAAACTTTAAATTTTACGTCCGGCCTAGAACTTTAAAACGCGACTATTAAAATGCGCATGCGTAAGCGACAGGGTATTACCTTGAGCTTACGCATGCGCATCATCAATATTTTGTACTCAGAAGTTCCGCTTGCAGTTAGCGTTTTGATTTCGTTAAGTCGCTAATGGCTTTTATCCAACTTGGTTTGATATTTTTGATTTTTTTTTTTTTTTAATTTTATCGTTTATCTTATAGCGGACAATGGTTTTTGTCCAACTTGGTTCGATACTTTTGATTTTGATGTCGTATGTCCTCCTTCCGCCATGATAAGGTTTGTTGTTCAAGATGAAGATATGTTTGGAGACCCTAATTTTATAGCCCAGTCTTGCTTACTTCTAACAAGCATGAAGGTTGGACATAGATCTATTCCGTTGCTCAATGCTTATAGTGAAGAAATTCCATTAGCGTCGCTATTGGTAGAGTTGAAAATACAAAATGCCCAGGTTTAATTACAATTAATGACTAAATTTTGATTTGATTTCTTATAAAGTTCAAAGTTATAGAATCAAGTACTTTTGCTTTTATATTGTCGCTGTATTAATTTCAGTGATAATAATTATGATTTTAAACTTAGGACGATGAGGAATACTCTTCTATCGCTGAACTAAGAGATAAAATGCAGATGTTGATAGATCGAAATGAAGGAACAACGCAATCAGTTATAGATAGTGAAACAGAGAATCAATTACAAAATTACCAAGCTCAACTTTCCATGCTTAATACTACAAGAAGAACTAGGTAAACATTTTTTAAAGTTTTTTATTTATGTTTTTAATATATATTTTATATTTTTAAATATAAAATTTATTATTTTCTTTTGTCTTCATGTTTTTATTTAACATTTAATTTTCAGGCATCTTGAAGAAGATGCGTCAAAGTCGCATTCTACTATTCATCGTAATTAATCTTAGAAGAGTCTATATGTGCTCAGAAGAGTCTAATTGTTTTTTCCATTGGTCAGAATAGAAAATTTTTAATGCATTTAACATTTTTTCAAATTATTTAAATTTAGAAGGTATTTGCGTATATAAGCATTTATGTAAATAACACAGTCTAAATTTATGTAGGTGCCGGGGTTTCTAAATTTGTACACATGGGAAACTTTTTTATAGGAATTTTTTTTACAGAATTTTGTAAAATATAGTTACAAAACGTAGAATTTATTTTTTAAGTTAAATGTTATTTTATAGATTTTTGTGTTTGGTTGTATTTGCGTCATATATATATATACATATATATATATATATATATATATATATATATATATATATATATATATATATATATATATATATATATATATATATATATATAATATATATATATATATATATATATATATATATATATATATATATATACACATACTCATGTAAATAAATTATGTATATGAATTTTATCATCGTTTTTTCGTCCGTTATCAAAATACTTTTTTAATGCCAAGCAACATTTTTGCCATAGCAAGATATCATTTTGCTATATAGATACAGACCCCAGTATAAAATAGAAAAACGCGAAAATTTTGTTGATTTTTGGCAACGCAAACTTTTTTGTTTCCCTGTGGTGTATCTGTTTTGTGTTTTAAAAAGTTTATCTAGAAAATGTGAAAGTCCAATACATTGTTGTCTGCTACAAAGGTAGTTTTTAAACCAGTCCATTTTTTAAGTAAAATGTTATGGTTTACAGTGCTAAACTCTTTTGACAAGTCTACGAAAATTCCTAATACTATTTTTTTTTTACTAAAAGAATCATTTATATTATTGATTAGATCTAAAAAAGCGTGTTCAGTTGAGTATTGCTTTTGAAAGCAGAATTTTTAATTTAAGATTTTATTTTTCAGTTAAATATTCGTATAATCTGATATAAATAATCTAAAACAGAATCTATAACAATTAGGTTTAGGCATTACGGTAGGTATTACGGAGCAGTGATATTTTTGTTCGGAAAATAATTTTAGTTTTAGTTTTTATTCAGTTTAGAGGCAAAGTTTTTAGTTCTAGTTCTTATTCAGTTCAGTAAATAAATTTAGTTCTAGTTTTTATTCAGTTCATCTTAAAATAATTTTAGTTTTTATTTAGTTCAATTTTCGTTTGTCGTATAAATTTTTTATCTCATCTAATTATAATTTAGTATAATTTATAAATAATATAGGCATATATAATTAAAAGAAGTAAGTCTATAAACAAACAAAAAAATGAGAACTTAATTAAATGTAATACACCCAGTCCCATGGCTAGAAGTTTAGAGCCCCGCCCACCGCCCTTAATAAAAAACACAACAACAACCTGTCCTTATTCCTCTAAAACTTAAAAAAATTTCAATTATTAGGTATAAAAAAAACTCCTCAAATTTGGTAACAATAAAAACTAATGAATAGTTATTGTATAGACTTTAATAATTACTCATATATTTTACAAATAAAGGGCCTAGTGATTATATGATTATCATCTAGACTAGATGAGAATTTAGTTTTAAGAAAACTCGCATTTCCAATGACGCTGACATTCGATTTCTCCGTCCATTTGTGAGCAAGCCACAGATTGAAAAAAGTCTTTCAACATATGCTTGAGTTGCAGGAGCTGCAATGAGGTCTTCAGCTAATGGTGCAATATGTGGGTAAACAGCGCGTCTCATCTTCCAGAAATTTAAAGCATTTTGGCACATAGAGCTGTTCCTTATTTCAATAAAATATTTGTTGAGTTCATTTTGTGCTTCATTACCTGGAATAAGCTTTATTTTTTCTACTCGCTGTTTTGCCGCTAAAAATTTCCATTTTGTTAATCCATTTATTTCTGGAGCAATCTCAACAGAAAGAGGAGATGCACTTGCTAAAGGTAAATCATGTTGCACCGATTTTTTAGCCTCTGACAAAATGTATTTCTTTGCACACTCTCTGATTTGTGTATGCTCATTACCTAAAAGAGCTATTGCACATGTGGGGTCAAGTAGACATGCGGCACATGGCAGTGGATTAAAATTAGGATCGTTTGGCTGCAAAAGAACGGCAAAACGACGGCGTAGATCTTCAAGCATTTTAACTGCTACATCTTTGGCATCTCCAAATTGCTCAAGGTGACATTCTAAATTAAGTATTGAAGGTATAACACTGGATAGTGAAAGTGCATCCGTCTGAAGAATATCAGTTTCATTGGCAAAAGGTTCTAAAAAATTGACAAAATCCTGAAGCATTATCCATTCGCTATTGGCAAGTGAATCAATGTTAATGTCTCCAAGCCCTTCGTTGATAGATGTCTTTATTTCCAAAAATCTCCGAACCATAAAGTAAGTGCTGTTCCATCTTGTAGAACAGCCGCTGATCACAGTCTTACCACATTTGTTGATAATTTTTTCCAATGCAACAGAAGATTTGCGAACTTTTCCCACTAATCCACGTACCTTCAAAAGTAAGCCATGATATTTACCATCATATGCAAGTTTTACAACTAGCTGTATAACATCTGCAATGCATCCCAATCTTCTAAATGCTAGGTTTTCTATTACATCAACTATCAAGTCAACATGTTCCCACTCTTCGCTATTTGTCATATTCTCATCGTCTTCCAGATCTGTTATCTGCTCTTCATTAACCTCACTTTCTAATTCAATAAGTATATCACGTTCAGCTTGAGCTTTCATTCTCGACAACTTTATGCCTTTGACCATGTTTGCTCCATTGTCCGAAATAACAAGCAATATTTTTTCTCTGGAAATATTCCAATATTTTAGGCATTTTTCAAAACAATTAGCAATTTGTTCACCTGTATGTGGATGTTTCACAAGATACAAATTAAGCAGAGCATGTATTGGTTTTTCGGATTTGAAGTGAAAAAAACAAACCGAAATTCCTAAAAAGGACGCAGTAAGACCTTTTTTAGTCCAGCCATCAAGGCATATTGTAAAGCGCCTGCCTTCAGATATGAAGTCACGAAGTTTTCTCGTTAAAACAGTAAATTCTTCATTAAGTAGGCTAGTAATTTTGGCAGAAGCAGGCAATGAAAATTTATAATCCAAGGTATTAACTAACTTTCTAAAACTCGCATTATCCACCAATGTCATTGGATTACATGTTGCAATTATCATTTGAATAAGAGAGTTTAGTCGAATTTTATGCTCGTGTGAATTAATAGGCTATGCGGTATTCCTACGATTAATGCATTGAATCAAGGTCTGGTTCTGATTTGAGGACGATTCTAAAAGAGTGGGTCCATTTTCATCCACTGCTTTTCTCTTTATCCCTGTTTGCTTTTTTTCACTTAATTACTTTAATTCCGACTCTTCCAGCTCAACGTGTACAGACTTATGGTTTCTTGCTAAATGTAGCTAGAAAAAAATAAACATATTTATATAATTTTTTGTTTGTATATTTATATGTTTATTTATCTATCTGTTTATCAATTAATGTATAAATAAGTATGTATACGTTATTGAATAATTACTCTAAAATGATAAAAATGAGTCGTTTGTTTCAAAATGAAAACATATCCTCTAACAGATAAACTAACTTTAAGATTTGTTGGGTTCTTTCCACACAACTTTGTATTGCATACTTTTTCACCATCAAGTAAAACTAAACATACTGATTTGTCGGATGACGCATCGTATTTAAACCATTTCCATACTGAACTATTCCTCTTCTTACCAGCAAAAAGTTTACTCAAACTCATCGCGTAGTTGTGTTGGTCTTACAGTTTGATTTTTTTTAGTTCGAAAAAATATATTCGAATAAATATATTCGAACTATATCATAACTAAACTTATTCGAACTTAATTGAATAAAATTCAATTAAGTTCGAATAATATATCATTATAATGTATTGTAATATAATAATTATATATATCAAATAATTCAACTCGTTTCAAATCTAGAACGAAAATATTTCGTTTTAAAATAATTTTCGATTCAGTTTTTATTCCGTTCGAAAATTTAAAATTATCGTTTTTATTCTGTTCTCGTTCTTAAAATAAATTTCGTTTTAGTTTTCGTTTTCGTAAACGAAAGGCTTTTTTTTTCTTAAAAAACTTAGTACTTGACCAATAATGAAATTTTCAAAATGGCGTACTAAAAATATGATTTTTTTTATAACTTAAAACTTCTATAAATCAGAAACTCTTGATTGCATTAAAAAACTTTTAGTTCCAATTGTACAACCAGATGCTATAAACATTTGGTGAAAATTTCATACAAATTTAACTTACGGTTAATGAGATAAAATGGCCGGGAGGTCAAAATTTTACATTTTGAGAAAAACTCGTTTGAATATTATATTCATAAATTTTCATAATATTTTCTCTCGTATACTCAATTAAAAAACTTTTATTTATATGAACATGAACCAGGGTTATAAAGACAACCTTCTTGATCATTCTCTGCTTCATCCTTTTTTTTTTTTTTTGCATCCACGAATAACTTTTCGTCGCTTTTTAGATGTAATCCGATTTTAATACTCAGCAAAAATTAAGCGCTTTTTGTTCATGGTTGAACAGCCTTGGAAAGTACCAGGAATCTTATTCAACTTTTCAAACAAAAGTATGCTTGCTTTTCTTCCAATATTAATATTTGAAACAGCATCATAAACTCCTAACTCCAACTGCGTTAATGAAACATACTTTGTTTTAGGTATGCGCTGCCATATCATTCCATTAAAACTTTCATTCTGGTTTTGGGTTTTACCATGAAGGCATTTTTTTAAGAGTTTTTCTTGAGATAAATCTATATATATAGACTTTAGATGACTGACAACTGAGAGTGGAAGACCAGCACCTGACTTGCAGGTAGACGTTAAATTAGCTTTATCCTGTTTATAACGACACATATTAATATTAATTACCGTTCATAAATAAATTATTGCGATAAGGATTGGCAATAATTTATTTAGTTTTACCTGAATTAAAGTTCACCAGCCACTGTGAGGCCCATGCTGCAGTAGAAGTGAGATCCTTTTCAAGCTCAAATGCCCCCTGCAAGCAATCAGAGGGAGTTGGCTTTTTATCTTGACAAGAATAAATGGTAGTATCATCAGCGAACAATGCCACCTTAGATGTGAGAATATCTGGAAGATTGTTAATGTATATTAAAAAGAGTATAGGGTCAAGGATTGAACCTTGAGGAACCCCTGAGGTTACAGAATAAGAA